AGAAGGCAAGGAGAAGGCGCTCGGGCCGGATTGGGCAGCCTCTATTCGCATCAGGGCCGGCCCGGCTAAAGGAGGCTGGAACGATGTAATTGCGGCGTCCTCATTTTCAGACGGCAATAGTTAAAGCAAGCGAATATGGCTACGTGATATGGGAACGGAGAGCGGACGGGATCCCGAGTTTTCCACCATCTATGGCCATATGTACAAAAACACTATCAACCAAAGCCTTATCAAGTTCGAATTCACTCTCTCCCGAGTCTTCCTTAGACATCAGCTCCCCTTTTAAATCCCATTACCGGCCCTTATGTATATGTAGATACTCCTCCTGTTTATCCTCGTTGGTTGTCTTGTCCCTGAGCCCTCGCGTACATCTTCAATTCTCCTCTTCTAATTCCAATACCGCCTGTGTCTCGTTAGAGCTCATTCTTCGTCAGAACCCCAGGCCACAAACCCTTTCCTCTTCTCAAAAGCCTCAGCAGACCTAAGGGACTGCCAATCCTCCCCCTCAGACCGAAACATCATCTCCCTTTCCGTAACCAACGCTCCCCTCAAAATCAACCCCTCCCCTTCATTTCCTTCATAACTCCCCCGCTCAAGCTGAATCGCTAAAGACAACGGCATGTTGGAGAGCTTCCTCTCTGGGGACTCTGGCTGGTTTGTCTCAACAAACTTTACGGCACTAGCTCGAATAATCTGGCCAGTCTCGGGGTCCCAGATCCAGTAGATACGGCCATGGGCATCATCGTATCCGATCAGACGGCCAGGGCGGCTTCGTTCCTCCAACTTGTCACCTTTGGCGCGCTTCTGGGGTTTGATGTAGTAGTATGGGGTACAGAAATAACTGCGCAAGTGCTTGATCCATGGCTTGATCTCGTCTTTAGGGTAACCGGGAATATCTCTGCAGAACAACTCATGTGGGCTTTTGCCTTCTGGGTTTGCCTTTGAGGGTATCAGATTCATCACAGTAACAACGCTTTGAACAACGAAGGACCAGAGATGGGTGGGATATTGAGGTCGATCATGAGGGCTCTAGAGCGCTCCATAATCGCGCACCAAGGCTCCCACAATATCAACAGCCGAACGCTTGGGGAGGGCACCCGCCTGTTGCGGATTTAACACCCCATTAGAGATAGCCGTCCAAGCGATTCGTCTGCCAATCAGGCGCTCAATACCTTTTCCAAGGCAGGATAAGAGCGAGATCGGTCGCCATCCCTTGGCCGTTGTCTGGTCTTTTCCGGGTTTTGGTATCATAACTACCTCCGCTTGTCGAAAGATTTGAGGGTGGTAGCCGGAAGCGACGCAGCCCTGGTATCCTTCTAGCGCTCGCTGATACATCGCTTCAGCCTCCTTTAGCCAGCCCTGATGCGAGTAGAGTATTTTTTGCTCGCCAGTGTACTGGAGACCTGGGTTCCGGTGTTAGGACCTCTCGACGATGAGGCCTACAGATTTTCTTGGCAAACGATCCGGGGCTTTTGGGCAACACTCGAGGATGCTTGCCTGGAAGCATGAATTCAAGAAACGTACCTTGGCAATATCTACGCTACAAAAAGGGAACGCATCAACGAAACTGGGCGCGCTAAGAGGAGGCTTTTGGTTTTGTCAAATATGACGGTACAAAGTTGCTTGATGGAATGTGTGTGTGTAACTCCACGGAAGGGGTGCTGGGGACTACTGGGCCCCAGTTAGCTAGCTCAGGTCCGTGAATGGGATGTTTAAATCACTAACAGGAATGGGTGCGATTCTTACCAAATCTGTTACGGTTCTGCACACCGCATTAACGAAACCACTCACCAGTAATGCCAAGTTGTTTGTGGTTTGGTTCTTCGGCGTCTTCCTATTCCGCAGCCACTGCCCCGTATGCATCTCTCTCAGCCAATCGACTCTTCTACAAAGGTGTGCCTCTTCCTCCCTCTTCCTCCCTCTAATGGAGTTAGCATCAGATCCTAGAGCTGTGGTTGGCTTGTCGAACGGTGTAGGCGGATGAACTTTTCTCGTAATCCGCCCAATCACTTTCATCCTTTCAGCGCCGCCTCCCCACTTACCGTTTTGCCTCCGTCCGAACGATATGGATATGGGAGGTGGTGGTTCAGTTTTTTGACCCTACCACGTGATTAAAAGACCCGTTTCTTGTCAAAACGCCTCCCATAGATATGCTTACTGAGGGCCAGACTAGTAGTTGGGTCGGTGACGACCAGCGAATCCCTGGTGTTGTATGTTTTTCTTTTCCTCTTTTCCTTTTTGCTTCCTTGTTGGTTATCGGAGTCCGTACGCAGTAACCGCAATAAAAGTGCATAGCTGTCGATGTGCAATGTGCGTGCTAGAAGTCAATCTTGGCGGGGATAAAAGGAGTGATATGCGATATGTAATACGTACGAAGTAAACCTATCCGCACCCCTATGGAAACCTAGAGGCACTTCATGGATTTTGAACACTTCGATTTTCCCAGCCCTACTCAATTCAGTTCTTTAATAAGAGGACTTTGGCTGAAGAATACGGCTAATATCCTTCAAATTCTAGGCCTATTTTAGTTCCGGAACTTTCTAATAGTAATTTGCGGAGTAAGTTGCAAAAGCCGGTGCTGTAATTGCAATCAGCAGCTTGCAACCTAATATAATAGTATAAGAATAGAATTTGGCCTCTGGTCCGTTGGATCTTTATTTGAAGAGCCCGAATATGTATTCTGTATCCGCTCTTGGCTTTTGGTTGTGGTTCAAAGTGCACTTTGTCTAAAACCCATTGGGTGCCTCTAGGTTTCCATGAGGTGCGGATAGGTTTACTCATGCAATATCCAAGTTGGCGAAAAGACATGGAGGCAAAGAAAAATAGTCCTTTGACGTACCTTGACTTAAATTGATCCTATGGAAGTTGCTTTGATTGTGTCACGCTGGTATGCACTGCCGATTCCATACACCATGACACCTTGAACGAAAACACGCCCTGCACAGTAAAATAGACGGACCTACCACTAGGAATTCATGACGATCGACGACAAAAAATAGGTAGCTGGTACGGAAGGAGCTCAGGACCGTGGATTCCGAGTCCGTCCACGAAGTAGATAATTGAGAGCACTAGTGGATGGTTGGCCACGAGAAGAGGTATCACGGTAGGCTCCTTCCCCTTATCAACCTAGTCCGTCTCTTCTCTTCCAGAATCAATCAGAATCATTCCGCCACATATTCGAGTTTCCTTCATTCGTTCGTCTTTGCTAGACTGCGACTATGTTTCAGCGTCAATGCGACATTCCAATATTCGTCACGGCCTTCATCACTGACTTGCCTGTCTCTTGCCTGGTAAGCCTAGGGATGGGTATACTTGGGTCTAGCCAGACGGCACCACATTGCCAAGTCCTGTGAAGCGACAAAGTCAGCACTTGTTCCCATCACGAGCTAGTGTGACGAGGGCTGTGAAACCGATCTGTTGACAACGCTACATTCCCCGCAACATATAAGACGGCATGTTGATCTGGGTTTTGCCCACATTCAACCTCAGTCTTCTTGAGGCTAAGTCACGATGAGGCAACACTTCCTCCTCATCTCCCTCCTCCTCGGAGCCGGGACCACCACGGCCGCAAGCAACGCCTCCCACCCAAGCCCAAATCTACGGCGTTACCACTGACCTCTCCAAGCTGTCTACCCCTAACAACTTGATCGACCTAACGCAACCAGGCAGCTATGTCCTGCAATGGTCCTTCTACACCCGCAAATGTTCGTCATATATTTCAAGGACCACATGGCGCGACTCCTCATACTTCTTCCACCCCAATCAGGAATTGGTCGAATCCTAAAAGCCCCCTCTGTCACAGTTTCAGGGAACGGATCGCATATGGTTCAACATCACCACTCCCGACGTCGACCCAAAGGCCAAGGATACGCATGATCCGGATACCTGTGACGAACCGTTACAAGCACAGGAGTATTATCGCTGGGATAGAACAATAGAGTAACCGAGTAGTAGTTGAAAGACACTGGTAGATTGTGATAGCTATTGCTTGCTGAAGAGCTTTATAAACGAAGACCGGGAGGCCTTCTTTTATACTGCTCTTCCCTGGACCCGAACCTTTCGGGTCCTCCGATACTATGGAGTCGTGGAATCCGGCGGCGAAGATTGGGGAGGAGAAGAATTTTCAGTGTGCGATCTTGCACCCGAGGAAGGTTAATGAGACGGGATATCTAGGTTTTGGGGAGGGGTATACGGAGGGGAGGCCGTGTAAAGCCAATTTTGGGAGTAGGGAGAAGGCTGAGGAGGTCTTGAAGGCGCTTTTGGGGGAGCAATGGAAGGAGGATGATGCAAAGCCAAATAGTGCTTCTTCCCTGGCATGTGGAGGGTTGGAGGAGTGGGAAGCGTGATGGCCGGGCAGGTGTTGCTGGCGGCGGCTGTGGGCGCTTTTCTTTTGGCCTGAGATTGAGATAGCACCCATCAAAGCAGGTATGTGGTATCGTCCGAACGTTTTCGGTACCTTCCACGCGTAAAAAAAGTAACTGACTGTATTGTTCCTCGCGCTTTCAGAGGTTTAACTCGTCTTGCTTTATTCAATCTTGAGCATTTCCTGCCATGGCCTTAAACATTATCATTACTTAACAACCCGCATTCATCCCAGATCCAACTTCATTTTCTTTTCGTCATATCTCATCTATCTCATCTCAAATCAACAAAAACCCTCCCACCGCGACCACAACTGCCATGACGCCCAAACCATTTACCACTGGCCCGACTCTCGACCCTGCATTTTTCTTCGACCCTTTCCCAGTTGCCTCCTCCAAAGTCAATGGTCCAAGAAACGCAGTCACCACTTTCTTGCGCATCTTCTTGTCTTTTAGCTCAGAGTTACAATACTCCCCATATCGGAGTTCCTCATCCTCCCTCCTAATTTTCTCCTCTTCTACAGACGGAATTCCGAACTCCGGTGGCGCCAGCACCGTACAACACATGTTCATCTCGTTCCACTGCTCCTCCGTCATGTTCATGTTTCCGCCAATAACATCATCCGGATGGTAGTAGTAGCCCGGGTAATAATACCAATAGCTTGGGTCCCGCGAGGTCATCCTGATGATTTCGCCCGTGGTGCGCAGGACCACGTTATTCCAGGGACACATGCTTTCGTCGTATCAGTTTTT